CCACTTGTAGGATGGACGCTTGTAGCTGGGTCTCCCACTGTCCAAGCGGTTGGACAGGCTGAGGACGCTGTTGTTGAGGTCCGGTGGGGTCTTGCCCTCCTTCTTGTAGGAAGACTTGTCTTCCTTGTTCTCTTTGGGGAGGTAGAAGGAGTAACGTACGCGGGGAGGGGTCATCTTCCCCACGGAGAGCACCTCCAAAGTCAAGGGTTCTTGAATGGGTTTGAAGGCTTGGAGGCTCTCGACGGCGGTGCCGGTGCCACTGTAGCGCAGGACGCTGCCCTTCACCATCAGGGCCCTCTCCACGGCCGAGACGATGAAGAGGCCGGTTCAGAGGGACATTGTTCAGCGCCAGGTAGTTGTCGTCGCTGATCAACCCTTTGTAGCCCCGCTGCCGGATGTCAATGTTGGAGGCACCCGCGGGGATGACCACCACAAAGTTGTAGCCGTGCCTGGAAGAGAAGAGCAGGCAGGGGGACATCAGGCAAGGGGACATCCCGCTTCAACATCCCAAAGCTCTGCAGCTTCAGCCCTGAGATCTTCCCATCCAACAGGTATCTCCTCCTTCCCATGAAATTAATTTTGAATCTCCTCCCTAAGCTGAGGTCACTCAGATATGAGAAGACCCTTCAGCTCTTCTGGCTCAACATGGAGAGAACTCCATCAGCAGAAGCTGATAGAACATTAAACGTGTCCTGCTTCTCAGGAGTTTGCTCAGGATGGACTCAGAATCCCCGAATGGTTTGGGTTGGAAGGGACCTTACACACCATCGAGTTCCAACCCCCTGCCGTGGGCAGGGACACCTCCCACTAGCCCAGGTTGCTCAAAGCCTCATCCAGCCTGGCCTTGAACCCCTCCAGGGATGGGGCATCCACAGCTTCTCTGGGCAACCTCTTCCAGTGCCTCACCATCCTTATAGTAAAAAATTTCTTCCTAATATTTAAGCTAAATCTTCACCCCCATCAGCATCTCCATGACCTTCCTGCATCCACCCCAAAAAGCAGGGCTGGGAGCCAGGGACCTAACGCTTACATGGGTTTGGTGAACAAGCCTGAGACCTTCTTGCAGCTTTTGTTGTCTCCTCCGCACACGCTGCATTTGTCGAACTTCTTCTTGGAGCCCAGCTTGCCGTCGCAGCCCGCTTTGATGCATTTACCCTGGACGCAGACCGAGGTGGAGTCTGGGGAGCAAGGGGTGCCATCCACAACCTGCACGAGGGTGAGCAAAACAAGCTGCTGCATTTTCTGGTGCCACCCCACAGCATCCAGCCCAGGGCCACCCAAATCCGTCCAACAGGTCCTGAAGAGATGCTGGCAGGCACCGTGTCGCCCTTTGCTCATCCCCTGCTTTTCAGTCAGGATTTTTAGGGTCTCTGAAAAGAGACAGATGGGACTACATCCCTTTTCTTCTCCATCTACAGCATTTTCTGCACTTTCTGTTGCATTGGTGCAAAGGGAACAAGCTGCTCTGGGGAGGCAGCTAACACCAGTCTGTTCAGCCCCACATCTGACCCTCTCCAGCATGCACATGACTTCCCCACCACCGTGATTGTCATCCCCTCCATCAGGACTATGGGCACATCCCATACAAAGCCATTGGAAGACCCTACATGGACCAACTCCAGCCGTGAAATAAATGATGGGACATGTACATGCTGCTTCATACCAGCCTGGTGGATTCCCCTCCCCTACAGCCTCAGCTAACACCAGCTGCCCGCCAGACAAGGAAAATATATTTATATCCAGGCACACTGGAGTCATCCTACAGCCCAAGATGCTGACCCTGAGCATCCCTCACCAACCTTGGGAGCCAGCACGTAGAAGTAGCCAGTGCCGTTAGCCCGGCAGATGAGTTTGCATTTATCCCGTGGCGAGACGCCGGAGTATTTGGGGACCCAGGAGACGGAGGCAGTGAGGCGGTTGGTGCTGTGGCTGTAGCCATTGAAAGCCTCACACTGTTCCTCGCGGAAGCTCTTCCCCGGCACTGGAAGAAATGGGGATGCACATGGAATTGGGGACCAGTCTGGACCTCCAGTGCTGGTTCTGTGGGGTTGTTACAGGTCATGCACCCAACCACCAGCAAGCTGAGCCTCTTACCTGCAGCAGAGCAGGGCTCCAGGTTGCAGGAGCGGTACTTGACACGGACGCCCTCGCAGTAGGACCCCCCGTTGGCAGGCACCGGGTCGGTGCACTCCCGCTTGGCCAGCTGCACCCCTCCACCACAGGTCCGCGAGCACTGCCCGTAGGGTGCCCACTTCGCCCAGCCACCGTCCACCTGCGGGGATGTGATGGGCTGAGATGCTGAACCCCCTTCACCCACCAGTTCCATCCCAAATGGGGGTTTTGTCCAGACTTGGATTCCCCAAACCTGCCCAGGACTGGATGGCCCAGAGCAGCAGCATCCCTCCTCGAGGAACATGCAATATCCAAGGGACCTGCATCTCTTTCTACATCAGCATCCCTCTGCTGGGTCCACAGCATGGGGGATTACCCATCCAGCACCCATGCAAAAACTTGGGGTGACCCCAGGGGATGTTTTTTGGGGGTTCACAGCGCAGGTACTCACCCTGTACTTACTGATGTTATGCCTCTCAACGCAGGCGCCCTTCAAGCAGAAATGCCCCTCGCCACAGCTGGTGCCATCCGCCCAGGGGAAATGCCGGGTCTGGCAGACGATCTGCCCGCGGGCTTTGCCCGTGCACCACAGCTTGGCGCAGTACTGCATGTACGGGCAGGGCTTGGAGCCCACGCCGAAGGCCAGCTCGCACTGCTGGTTCAGGCTGTAACTCGTCCCCGGCAGGTCTTCGGGCAATGGGATGGGTTTGGCAGGCTGGTCCAGCAAACAGTCTCCTGCGGGAATGGGGATGGGGCTCTACTGGGTGCTTGGGGAGTTGTAGGGACCACCATGGGGAAGGGAGGGATGGCTGCTGGTTGTTGGGCCAAAGCTATCCACCACCCAGGGGATCCGGTACTACCCCAGGGATGCTCTCGAGGTCAGCTGCATCCCACACCCAAGTGACTCCATCTCTTGGCGATGCTGGGCAGAGGGCAGATGTCACTGCTGGGGACTCCCCAGAACTGAGGAAGCCTGGCTGGGGCAGAAATGCTGCCAAGTTCCCCATTTCTTTTGAACTTTGGGGACAAGAGTTGCTCTACAGCCCAACAGCCTCTCCAAGTAACCAGCCCCAGGGATAGATCCTGCTCCAGACACAGGTAAGAGGATGAGGGGCAGAGGAAGGCTCACCGTGGCCACTGTCGAGGAAGTCGGTGATGATGGCAGCGCTGCAGGCTGACCAAGGATTGGCACGGTCAATCTGGATGAGGGTAGGGGACATCATGTGGTTTGTCTTCAGGTGACCAAAGACCTCCTCGCAAGCCTTCACATTGTCATGGGGCATGTTGAACACATGGCCTGGGGGGGGGATAAGGGATGGCAGCATGAATGACCCCACTTGGCAGAGCCCCCGTGCCTTCTTGCAATGGGGGAAACTGAGGCACAGAGCAGGGCAGAGCTTTGCAAGGGTTGTAAAGGCTGTGGGCAGCCTTTGAGAGGAGAGCGGGGAGCCTTACCCAGCTCGTGGGCAGTGGTGAAAGCCGAGGGGAGGCCATCGTCCTCGATGACGGAGCAGCTGCGCTTGGGGTCACACATGGTCCCCACGTCCGCCATCCCCAGCGTGTCGCAGGTGGTGGCACCGCACAGGTCCTGCGAGGCAGGGAGGTGAGGGGTTAGTCCCGGGGCCACCGCGGACACCACAGTTCCCCATCCCTGGTACCCCCCAAGACCTCATCCCAAGCTGCTGGGGGGAGGAAGCCTAAATGGATGGGGACCACACCAGGCTACAGAGTAGGAAACCTCATCCTGACCCTGCTGCAATGATGTGTTTGCTTTTAACCCCACCGCCAGGGATGCTTTTTGTGCGGAGCATCCTCCCCTGCCTTTAACAACAGCCTTTCCCACCCAAATGGGAAGGCACCTAGTCTTGGGTTCACCGCTGACCTGTTTCTCAACCTCATTTCTCAGCTTCTTCCTAGGAACAAGAAGCCCCTGGATGGGGTTCAGAGGTTCCAAGACTAAGGGAAGTTCTTTGGTCTCTCCGAGACACTTTGCAGCCATCCCTGGAGCCCAGCTGATGGAAGGAGGACCCAGCCCAGCCTTCCACCCCCAGCACAAGGACAGCATGAAGATGCAGACGGGACAGAGGATGCAAAAGGTCCCGTTGTAGGTGGATCTGCCCTTTTTCGGGATCCAAAGGTGCTTGTGAAAATAAAAAGTCCCTGCTTGAAGAGGCATCACTGCTGCAGCCTTGTCCTCGAATGTCCTCTTGCCCTCCTGGGGGTGGCGTGGCTTTGGGAGGACTGGAGCATCGTCCCCATCCCTCGGTGTCATCCCAGCTGGGCTGGGGACTCCATGTAGGGGACAGGGAGCAGCCTTCCACGTGAAACCGTCAGGGACTCTCCGGGCGCTCCCGTGCTATAAATAAGCATGATTCATGCTCAAGTGCTCGCCCAGCCAAAGTGCTTGGGTTGCTCGAAATCTGCCAAAATTTCCAGCCAGGTTTCCAAACTTGAAGGCATTCCCACTCCGGCAGGTTCAGCCGTGGGTAAATAACAATCCCGATGACTTCAGAGAGCCCCGGCCAGGGCTCAGATGGCTTTAACAGGAGACCTGTGGCTACAAAGTCTGGAGGCACAGACGAGACCGGGATCTCCGGAGAGGCGAGGCGGAGAAACACCTGAGTCTGGGCGGCTGGTGGAAAACCCCGTCGTACAACAGCTCTGCCAGTTTTCCTTGTTGGCTGGGTCCCTGCCGCATCCCTTGGCCCCCCGCGCATTGGGGCAAGCAGGTGACAACTCCACATCTCCAGGAGCAGGGGTGACTAAATGGGGCTGGCAGTGTCCCCTGTCCCAAAATGCCACCAAGAGCCAATGCCATGGATGGATGGATGCCATGGACCCATGGATGCACCTTGCCCAAGCCCCCCTGCCTGTGCTCTCCCCTGGGGCGGTCCCAGCGCTGGGGGTTGGGGGGTAAAGGTGGGGTGGAGGAGGGACACACACAGCATCACAGGGAGGAGGCGGCCACTCGCAGCT